AGCAATATACAGTACAAAAAAAAATAGATCACATACACACAGTTACACATATTGATATTATAGCCAATAGGCCCCGACGTGTAGCCATGTATATATATATAAGTAATAACTAATAAATACATATATATATATATATGTATACATAACTATACGTTATACTCTTATCAGCTATCAGATATTTTAAGTATAAAAAAATGTACACAACGCAAAGTTCATCTTAAATTATAACCATTGCGTAAATAAAATTATATTCGTTTGGATGCAAATTAATTATGCTAAAATATATTTATCAGACTTTAAACTTGTTTACAGAATCATGGTAGTGACTTTTTTTTATACATTATTCTTGTGTTTCTGTGCTTTAAAATGTAAATGTAATAACTTAATTCAATGCTAACCATACTTACAATGTGCAAATACTACAAAATATTAGGAAATTGATCTCAGACAAACCATGGTAACATTATTCTAATTAAATATAAATTAATATTGTTTCCTTTGTAAATAGTTATTTAATTATGTTATTAAAATATGCAGTGGCGCGGTGTGGCGCAGTGTGGACCACTCAGTTGCATACGCGCTCCGAGTGTTCGTGCCGGCCAGTGTTGTTAGCTCCCGGATGGGTGACCATCCGGAATTTTTAGCAACAAATCCTTGCCACATATACTCAAACACGTGTTTTAATAACTCCCCCCCCCCTATAAACAGAAAATGACCTAAGTTTTAAGGTTTAAGATAAAAAAATAAAATAAAATAAAACATGCAATTATTGAATGCCTATACTACATAATATATATATTAATAATTTATTTTATTTATATTTTTTTATAAAATAAAATCAACAAACTAAAATATAATTCTTTGATTTAACATTTTAAGCAAAGAACGTACAGAGATATTGCAAATCTGATAAAAATTTTGTAACTTACCCATATCATAAATTATGATATTATATCTACCGATTATATGTATATAATATTGTGTCTTATTAACATCTCATATGGTTGTTTTAACATTTGTGTTAAAACAACATATGTTAATTATTTTTTGTATAAAACTGCACATTATAAATAAGTTTTTAATTAGGTTTATAGGAATTTATGTATTGAAATGTCAAAAAAAGTTTGAAGTATATTTTAAACCATACTTATTTTTTTATTAGCATAACTATATTTTTTGAGTACTTACATAGGCATACACGACAAATACGCGCAATTACTCATATTATGTTCCTTATCATGTTTTTAATGTCTAAATTATTGTTTTTAATTTCTTATCGGTATTAAACCGAGTCCTAGTAGGTACTAGACATAGATATTAGTATGCATTAAAGAGAAGCTTTTGAACATTGAGAATAACATATTCATTTTGAATATTGATTAGGTAATCTCACGTCTATATGATGAAGTGTTAAATACATGTTCCAACATTATAACTTTGTATGATTATTTCTTGCATTCAATCAATATATTACACTTTAAAATTTAAGTATAAATTAAATATGGGAAGTTTGACGATGAGTTTACAATTAATATGTTTTAGAATCAAAAATATAACTATCAAATTATTATCCAGCTACATTATGATTTTGGCTTTACTATTCATTACATTAATAAGCTTGGTAAGTGTAAATTATTTAGTATTTATTCATTATTTACACGATTCATTCATTAAAAACAAATTTAAAGAGGTTGAAAAATATAAAAATATTTAGGCATGTTCAATCTAGTAAAGTATACTTTTTAAAATTATACAAGTACAAACTTATTTTGGTATATTCCTGTTTTACTGTACACGCTTTTTTTCCGATTATTTTGTTCTGAACGTATGTAGTTCAGCATGCTGAAAACGATGATAAAGTCAGAATTTGGCAGTAAAATGTAGTTTTAAAAATACTATAATTTTAAATTGAAAAATAGGGGGTTGTGTTGAATGGGAAAATTCTCTTGTTTCAAAAATATTTAAAAATTAAAATACGTATTTGAATGCTGAACAAAAAAAAAAATTGGAGTATACAAAAACCTATCGTATAGAGGTACATTCAAATATACTTCATAATTTATCCAAAACATTTTATTAATTTAATCATTTTATTCCATTTTATTAACTGAATTTTTTTAAGTATTTTCAAGATTTACCATAATTTTAGAGCATTTTACATCATACTATTAGGTGTAACTATAAATTATTCATCTGTGTTAGTTGTCAAGGTATTTGAATTTTTGTTTAGGTTATAAGTCTTATAAGTTATAAGAAATTATATTATTATTTTTCTAATTTTTATTTTACGATATATATAAGAATTGATTCTAATTATAGAAATCTACTAAGAAAGTATTTAAAATACGTACAAGAGTTGATATCTAAAATGTATTTCAATTATTTTACCACAAGTTATTCACAAGACTATTGAATCAATATCAATTGTATATCTTGTACATATGTTTGTGTTTGATATGAAAAAAATAAGAAAAAACTTTTTTTATTCTGTAGTTCTATATTTCGTAATTTTTCATAGTAAAATGTTGAAAAAAAAAGTACAATGCATTATGAAAAGTTGTTGAAAAATGGAGATTAATCTAAAATGTTTAGTACATTTTACTTACATGTGTGGACTGTCGTCTAAATAACATATTGTATTTCATTATTATTTAAATATTTGAAAGAATAAAGATTAATTTTCCGATGAATTCGACACATTTTCAAATAAAAATCTTTTTTTATTGAAATGACACATATATGATATTAATATTTGTGTTTTTCTGAGAAACGTAAATGTTTTAAAACTTTGAATGCATGTTTAATTTTAGCAAACTACTAAGTTGGAGGAAATTTATAAACAAAATGTTAAAATTATAAGAGTAAGCTGAGCAAAATTAATTTTGCCAATTCGAGCACTGTTTAAAATACTAATACTTATCTTTGTAAACTTGTAATATGACTATTAATGTAAATAAAAAGTTAAGAACTAAAAATGAAGAAAAATTATTACCTGGTCAGGGTGTGAAATAATACATAATATGAATATATGATCGAATTATTGAATGGTTCTGTACTTCTGTTTAATCTTTAAATAAATATAGGCAATAATAAATCAATATTTTTCGTAAAAAAAAATAACTTTCATATGGTTGTTAATATTATAAAACACTTCATTTTTAAAAAATAACAACAAACATGATATTAATATCGTTCAATTATTATCTATTTAAATGTATCTTTTATTTGAAGTTAGATATAATACAAATTGTAATCAGTTACATTTTTAAGTTACTCGAAAATGATGTAACTGACTATAAGTTACAAACCCAACTTATGGTTACGTAAATAGTAAATTTGATACAATATGTAACCGATAACTGCCAAACCATGCGATGGTGTGATATATAATATATATAAATAATTGATTATCACCAATTAATATAATCGCCTTTGAGACACTTGATAACATGACCTAACTTATCATCAACTCAAACTTGTACTGATTTAATCTTCTTGACGAAATAAACAAATAAAACTTAAAACAAATAAATATTTTTACTTCAAATATCTAACATAATACTGCAATTTATCTACGAATATAATCGTTTTTACTAATTTAATTTTTTTTTTTTAAATATCTTCTGAATTCTGACTTGATGAAATATTAGACCAGTGACTTGATCATATTTTTTAAAATTATTTTGTATTTATAAATGTTAATGATAACATTACATTGCTTTTACATACTGAGATGTTGATTACATATTAATGTATTTTTAATGTCAACCTGTTTCCTTAATAATTTACACTATTTGGTTAGGAAATATGTTAATGATGTTTAGAATCACTTCTAGTTGCCCATTTACAATAAAGAATCATCATAACGCATTAACTTCCTAAACTCCATTGTTTTATGAATTGCTAAATTATTATGTAAGTTTTCGTTCTCATGAATTGTTATCATCTACTTAAACACATGCACATTGTATCTAACCTACATAAAATATGGGAATGTTCTTTTTATTCCAATTATGCATAGACAACATAATATACTATAACATAATATAGACGTATATGTTGTAAATATTAAATCATTAAACTTTATGGTAGGTACCTACATACCTGATTCACTAATTCGTGGGGTGTTAACCATATAATGTACAAATATACACTGTATCCCAGTTTCAAACGGATGTATTAGTTGATATAGTCATAAAAAATGTCCATGTCCTCAACGAAGTTGTCAGAAATGAAATGTGCCTTAGTAAAATTGAATTAAAAAAGCCCGAACTAAAAACTATGAGATTATCGAAACATAATAAAAGAAGAACATAAATTTGTTTATTAATTTGTATTAATTATAGTTAAATTGGATAACATCCAAAAAAAATTTAAAAATAAGGAATGGAAAATTTTTTTTAATGTTTATCATTGACCTTTATACATTTTAAATAATATGACGCATTTGTGTAAGTAATCTGATTTTTTTTTCGGGAAACCAGAAATTGTATTTGAAATATAATAGGTGTATAGGGACAATTTTTACTATGGTAAAAACTATTTTACTTTTTATTTAAGAAAATAAGTATTAATTGAATATTTGTTTAAATAAAAATGTATGTCATAAATACATTTTCAGCTATATGTGTATAATAATCTATTTAATCTGAATATTTATCCTATTTGTTTTATTCTAAATAATTTTGCCAGTGACAGTTTATTTTTGATATAGTTTTAATACTGAAATTTTTGATTTTGTACAATAATTTTACCATGGATATTTTCCTTCGGTTATTTTTACCTAGATTTGTATTTGCCTGTTAGCATATTAATCAAAACAATACTACAAAACTACATATTAATTATAAGTGGATTATACGCATATTTAATCAAGGGCGACCTTATACAATATTAATAACATTATCAGTGATTATAATAAAAGACAACCTCCTCTGTATGATTAGGATATATATTTTTTTAAATTGTATTTGTAATAATGTCTATGTTAATTTTTAAAGCTGACACTAATGGTTAGCGGAAATGAAACGACTAAAAACAAAGGATATGACAGCCAATATTACATTGCGGCTGTCGTCGAGTACCACCCCAAATTGGGTTCCAATCCTTTGCAGTCAATGCAGAACAATTTACCAATTTATGAGGACATTATTCACCATGCTAGTCAATATGTAAGTAAAACATAAAGTGGATATATAAATAAGAAATTTGAAGCTAATAATTAATTACCAATTTGAAAACCTTCAAATAGTTTTATTAACTGAACATTAATTGTATTTAAAAATTATTTGAACCATATTTATTACAATAAATTATAAATAAATAGGTATCAATTACAATTTTATTCAGATGATTATTTGAATAATAATTTTTTTGAATAATGCCCTACTTTGCATTGCATTAAGTATTTATTTGGTACCTATACCTTTATAATAATAACAAGTAGCAATATGTTTAATTTGATGCTGATGAAACTAAATGTACTTAATTAAAAAATAGGACATTGTTATTTTGTTATTCAAAAGGATTTGATCCCGGCTGTGTTTTTTCTTAAATATAAACCTCATCTAATCTCATTCTAATTGTACCGGTACATTGTTTCTATTGGATATTAATAGTTTGACAAATAATACACTACAAATTATAGTTATGATTATTTAGTTATTATTAGTAATAATAATGATTTTATATAGTTATGATTATTGTATCATTTTACAGGATGTTGATATATTGGTTTTCCCGGAAGCTGGTTTGACAGGAGTTACTTTACCCGATAACCGAAACGAAATCAAAACATTTTTAACTGAAATTCCTTCCCCAGAAAGTAACACTATTCCGTGTTTTACTCAATATTGCAGCACGGTAAGTACCTTTAGATGTTGGTATATAGCCATATTAGTGCAAAATAAATACCTACTCAAAGAACTTAATATTTTTATACTTATTGTTATAAAATGATAATAAAAAATGTGTATAATTGTATAAACTATTATAATACTTTAATTCGCAGGTATTGAATAAACTGTCATGTGCGGCTAGACTTCATCATATGTATGTGGTGGTAAATTTACCAGAAATAGAGTATTGCAAGACAGAAGAAGACGACTCGTGTCCAGAAGATTTAGCAAATTATTACAACACAAACGTGGTGTTTAATAGGGAAGGCAGAATCGTAGCTAGGTAATAAACATTAGAATATTGTGTAATTTTTACTATAGTTTAATTTATTCTTAATGTATTTGGTAATTTCAACTTCTAGGTATAGAAAATTTAATTTATTTGGAGAATTAGGATTTAATCATACTCGTTCATCAGAATTATGTACGTTCGACACTGATTTCGGAGTGAGATTTGGAATGTTTATATGCTTCGATATACTATTTCAAGATCCCGCAGCTCGGCTTATTCGTGAAACAGGCGTGAAGGATGTTATATTTTCAACGGCTTGGTTTTCAGAAATTCCTCTGCTTACAGGTTAGAATATATTATTAATAGTTATTATACTTTTTACAATATTGCCGTATCCTGTTTGTATTAAAATACAATACAAATAATACGATACTTGATGTACACCAATAGATACGCATAATTTATTTTATTTTTGCATAATTATCTCAAAATACGTCATGATATGTTTTATAACCTAATGAATTTAAACTATTCAAAAAATACTATTGTGTTCATTTTCTATACATATATTCAAAAAATATTTATTTTTGAATTTACATTTTTCACGCTAGTAAATAGATCCATACTAAAAATTGTAAATTATTATCTGAACTCAACGTAAATACAAATTATAATGAATAATGTGCTTGTAGGTGTCTATAAATAGTACCTAGATACAGGCAATAATACATAACAAGTTTGAGAAATATGTACTTCGTGTTCTTTTGCTGGTTACAATTTTTTTTTAATAAAACTTACAAAATTAATAACAAAAAAAATTTAAAACCTATTGCAATTATATTAAAATATAATTTCAAGTACCGTTACCTATTCGTAGTTTAACAATTAGACGGTTCATGATGTTTTAGCTGATTCAGTGCAAGCTGGCTGGGCATATACCAACGATGTGAACCTTATAGCAGCTAGTTACAACGCCCCATCAATGGGCGGTGGAGGTAGTGGCATTTACGCTGGCCGGGACGGACCATTAGTCATGTTTATGCCTGACCGACCTGGTACTCAAATAATACTATCAAGAGTGTTGAAAAGACAATACAACAACTGTGATATACAATCAAAGAAATGTTCGATCGATAGTAACTATCAGACGTTTATATCGGATAACCTAGTCTTACCTTATGGTAAAGAAAAATCCCCACCAAATAGAAACCGGCCCAGTGATTTCAGGTAAGTTTGATTTCATACACCTAAATAATAGAATATGTTTTTACATTCAAAATTATACATATTACAATCATTGTGGCGTATGTTGGGGCATGTTTGGAGACTTGGGATGACCTGAAAAGATAATTATTATTATTCTCTATACATTTTTTCTTGATAAAAATATTTAAAATATGCAGATTTTATTATAAAAGTGTAATTAAATAGGTGGTGAAATACATGCCAATTTGTTTTCTAATTAAAACAGGAAGCTCACACTCTCTGTTTAAGGGGTTTGATATAGGCAATTTTTGTGAAAACTATTTTAAATATTTATTTTAAAAATATTATATAGGCATGTCGTGTGTGTAAGATGTAAATTGTAAATACAAATTCAAAGCTTCATACCAATACAAATTATGGTGGTTGATGAGTAATTACGAAATTATAAAATAAAAAATAAAATGGCTTTAGGGAGATATTTTTTTTTTTTTTTTTTTAACTTTATTTTAAAACATACAATCTGTAATTTAAATTTTACAATAAGCATGTATGCGGATATACATTAACTAATTTGACATGCGACGCGTGAAAAAAGAAGCCACCCAATAGCAACACTTTATCAGGGGGGAGATATAGAAACCAAATTAAATTTCATACACGGTACAGAAGACAATTTATTTTGCTGTGTCATACATCGTTTTAATTTTTTTGACTTACATAAAAGTTACACAAAAACATAAGCAAGAAAAAAATTGAGACTATCACAAAGCAAAATACATTGTTTTCAATATTTTATGTACCTAAAAAGTACAAATTATATTAACTGTTTTTTTTTAGACAGTAGCTTGACTGCTTGAGTGGTTATTTTTTGGGAAAATCTATGTATTAAATATTCTTGTATATTCATCTATAATTATTTTTTATATATTAATTGTAGTATGTATTAAATATTAATGTGAATAATAAAAACGCTTTATAAACATCGCGTTATTAAAACATTATCGAATACTTGCCAAAATGGGGATGGCTGATTGGCTATTGAGAATTTCACTCGTGGATCCAGATGTTTAAGTTACGTCACTGATATGCAGATATTTATGAATAACGCAATCACCCATTATATTTGAATCTAAACTAGCTACTATTACGGGTGTCGGGCATGACACATTTTTAGTACAAACATTTGAGGAAAAATTCTTACCCCTCGTGAAATAGTAGGATTTTGAAAAAATAAGTTTATTTGAAAGATGAAAACTTTATACAGGTGCATTGGACCCTAAATTTCTCGGATAAAAAATGTTCTTAGTTTTATGAGATGTGTATAGCGTTTTTCTAAGCTTAAAAAAACCAAAGTCCAGTTTAATGACCAGAATAAAGTTTTCTTAAAAAAAAAAATATCAAATTCCTACTATTCTATGGGAAGGTATGTAATCGTTTTATTTGTAAAGTCCTGTTACAAACGCCAACTGTACAGCTGTATGGCTGCCGTGCAACGTAACACGAAATTGCCCGAATTTTTTAGTAAGCTTCAATATAGCAAGCTTCGGTACCCTTAAAGATATCCATCGGCCCACATACGCCATGAATGAAAATGTATGACAATATTGCCGAGTCTCTTGTAAAATCACTAAACATTTATTGGATCAATACTTAATGGTCCCTTGAACATGATTTAGTGGTCCATGATTGGTCCATTGCATTTGATGAATTAACACCCATTGAATTAACCAATTAGTTCAAGCAACCCGGCACATGACATGTATAATAATTAATAGTGTACCAGCCGGTGTCACCGACCAATAATCAAAATATAGAAAACAATATAAAAGGACAAGCTTTCTATTAAATTGTGATCGAAGATCACATGCTATGCTTCGGTGAAAGTGAAAACCATTATGGTGTCTATATAATAGTATGGACTCTTCGATCACTGCTGTGCACCGGGCTTGTATATTGTGTACAGGGATTTCCAACCCATGTTTAATATTATTACGTAATTTTTACCAACTATAACACCCCCCCTGAACAGGTTCTTCGTGGACAACAGCTTCAAGGACTTCCACGTGGCGACCATGCGATCCTCGGACCCGGACGCCGAACAACACGACGACACGCTGTCCGCGTCATTTCAGTACGAGCACGACGGGTTCGAGTGCGCGATGACGGTGCGCTGGCGGAACGAGAACAACAACGACACGACGGAGTACAACATGTTCGCTTACTCCGGTACCCGAACGTTCAGCGGCTTCGTGGACGCGCACATCGAGACGTGTGGACTGACCACGTACAAGTCGGCTGGAGCGGCCGCCGGCCACTACTGCGGTGCCGTCGTATACTACGACCCTCCCAAGGACCTGGTCACCATCACCGGCATCACGATCGCCGCCCGGTCACCGGACCTCGGCACGCTGCCCATACCCAGTACGCTGGACACGAGCAGCTATCCGCTCGCCAACGACTACTACACGTTCAGCAAGCGCACGGTGACGGTCGGCAAGCGGAAAATGTTGGAGATCAACATGGAGCTGTCCAAGCCGGTCGCCAACCTGGTCACGTTCGGTATATACAAGCTACCGCTGCGCGTGAACCGTGGTTGACACGATCGCACGGTCATTATTGCCTATACTACCTATATAATTATAGTAATAATAATATTATATAATATGATTTGTGTGACGTCGGCGCAGGCGCATTTACTGTTTTATTTATTTTTATTTATTGCGCAGTGCACACGTCATTTCCTATAGAAGACATATTATTATTTTTTAATTTATAATAATAATGTGTGCCTTATGGCCTTCACTACAATTGTATTATAAGTACCCAACTGTTTATGTATAACACCACGAGAATACAATATACTTTTTTTTAATGTTTCTAGTATATTTAATTGTATCTTGTGGCTTGGGGGGAGGGCATCTCCATTTCACTTACTTGGGACGTCACACTTTTATATTAGTGATTCTCTTGCCACCATATATATCAATAAATGTATTGCTTTATTTTATAACCAACGACAAAAACGTATAATTGTATCATACGACTTTTTTTTATGTCTTTTCCCGAGTGGATAGAATGTTTTCTCACTAAATATTATACACGTTATTTCTCACTATATACTTATATTCTGTTCACTATAAGCTCAACATGTGGTGAGACAAACAGGTCTAACTATTCTTATAATAATAATAATATTATTTCGATAGCAGATTTTTCTTTTAATTCTAATGACGTTAGCAAAACTATGAACTAATACATGATAAACAATATATTTTTACAATTAATGAAAAAAATTGAACTCCGCATTTGATTTTTTTATATAATATACTATGGGCTTTAGGGTGGTCCTTATATATATAGATTGGGCTTACAAGAATTTTGAAATTACCTACATGAGATAAATATAACAATTTAAAAATATTTTTTTATGAGCGTGTGTACTAAAGTATGAACTCAGAACTAATAATAAAATGCCCTCTTTATTTTCATATCTGTTTGGGTCCCTGAAGTTACAATTGTAGCTAATTAATTTTTATTTATTTAGCTATATTTATTAATACATATTGTATAATATTGTACTGTATTAGTATTAAGTGTAGGTTAAATACTTATAACTTACACTGTTTTAGTCAAGTTCAATGTTAATAAACATTTGAATGTATATAAAATACGTACAATCATAATATAGTTTTATACTTTATATTTTTTTATTTGTAACAGTGTCGTAGACGGGAATTTTATTTGGGAGGGGCATTCATTATTCCATCTCATTTACAATACACTATCTATACATACAGTTCTCTATGTACTTAACTCTATAACAAAAATCAAAACTTTACTCAATTTTACTCATTCTATGGAAATGTACCTTCCTATATTTTTTTTACGATATTTCATATTATGTGTAACTTCAATTTGACATCAAAATATATATTTCCAATGTTTGAAATCTTCTCTAAAAAAATGAATTCGGTCACGTTCGCGTTCAGTTCTTAAAAAAGAAACTCGTTCACGTTCATGTTCATGTTTTTTTTTCAACTAAATGCGTTTACTAGTCTGTCGTTAATTTAATTTTTTTAATTTTATAATAGAAATTATAAAAAGAAAATATTATTGTATAATGTAATTAATTAATCAATATATTTTAAACAAATATTTACTTAATGGCAAATAAATTGAGCGTCTTAAAAATCATCCAATATCATTAAAATAAAACTTCGTTCACATTCACGTTCAATTTTTTAAAAAATGAGTGAAGTCCAGGCATCGTTCACGAAGTACAAAAGTCAAAGTGCATTCAAGAACGACGTTCTTTCCAAACACTGGATATTTTATAGTGCCATGTGCCTTCTCAAAGAATATATTACCTTATACATATAATATTATATACCTTATTATATAGGTACCTTCTCCTAGCTGCGACACTGATCTGTAATATTAGAGCTCACTACCAATTACTTATAAAAAATTATTGCATTGAATGTAAATTATAAATAAGGGTCAAAATGTATTTATTTATTTATTTTAAAAATAAAAATGTTACTTAACAATTTAGTTATTACCTTACTGGATCAATGTATCATAATATAGTCACATTAAAAGTGTCAGTCTTGTAAAAAATATATTGAAATAAAAGTATTCAGATATATATAATTTTTTTTATTTGAATTCTATTTTAAATAATTTAAAAAAACCCCATTTAAATAAGTATTTTGAAAAATTATTTTGTATTTTTTTATTCATTAAAAATTAATTTTTTTGCCTCCTTAAATAGTTTAAAATTTGCGACAAAACCAATTTTCTTTTAAAAATCAAACACATTAGAAATCATAAACAATAGTTTTTCTCTTTAAATTTATATGATTGACCCGCCGTAATTTCCAACTATTTCAAAACTGACCAAAATTAGGAGTGAAAAAAATATATTCTTAAAGTATTCGAATACTTAGATTTAAATTCGATGTATGAATTACCTATAATTCAATCAATAATAGTATATTATATTGTATAATCAATAATACCTTAACATTTTTTATCAAATTTAAAAAATAATTGTTTTACAGTTTAGCGATATGAATCATGATTGTATTGAATTTACAATAATGTGTAATGTTTATTTGTCTGTAGAAAAAATGTTTTGATTTTCAACTTTGAAGATAATTCCCAGTAGGTACTTAACTTAATAATCGGATAAAAAAATCGATATTGTTTTATTGTTGTAACTCAAAAACAAATAACTGTAGATACTTGATATTGTAATCAAATGTTTAAATGTATTACTCATTTTCGTGTATAATAAAATTTTCAAAATATTTTACTCTTTTTTTTAATTTAGACATTTGACATTTTTGAATTTTACGATATTTAAAAAAAAAATGTTTTAAGTTAAAATCTTGACGAAATCTATCAAAATTGAGAACATTTGCAAACGTTTTGTAGTATGAAATTCATAGGAATACATTTTTCTTTAAATATCTAAGATTTTAAAATGTAATACACGATTCTTCATAAGCTCGTTAAGCTCGTTTATCTATAACAAAAAAAAGAGTTTACCCGAAAATCACATTCACTTTTACTGAGGGTTTAAAGTTCAAATTTTTTTGGGCATTGCATATTTAACCACAAAAAACACTATTTCTTCTAAATCGATGTTTGATATTTTGGGGGAGTCGCTGTTCCGTTGTTATTAAAAACATAGTAACTTAAGATCTATTGTTTTCTTCCACTGTCCATTTCAAAATCTGGTGTTTCACCATTGGAATAGGAAAATCTAGCAGTGGACCTCCGAGAGGTCCGGTGTCTTGAAATAGTTTGTGTAAGTGTCCAATAATAAGGGCTCCCTAAGAACCACTCGGTAATGCCCGAGAACAGTTTAAGAGTGAAGATATGGCCAATGCCAACACTAGCGCCGCCTATTAATTGTGGTTGATTGACGACCACATGTGCCTGCGTCTTGTAACCGACGGGTAGGCAATTAAATATGCACGAAGGATGGCAACGATGAGGACGGGAAAGACCTATCGTGGTAATGAGGATGGTACACATTAATTATGAAGAGGGGGCTCTGTGATCGATTCGGTTTGGTGCAATGATCACAGAGCTCACAAACAACAGGGACAGAACTTAAAGCTAAATTAAAACTACTAAAATCTTGTGGTGATGGCTTGGAGAAGACGTGGATTATCCCAATAAACACACATCAAACTGAACGACCTGAGCGGCCTCTCACACAACGTTATGTTGCTGGTGGTCTTACACGTTGACCCCATCAACTCAGAGTGCAGAGGTGCGAATCACCAGCTTCGACGATGACAATAATAATAATAATAATAATAATAAAGACTTACTATCGTACCTGTCTGATGGTTCGTTATTTATTTATTGAACGACAACAAAAGATATATAATAATAATAGTAATAATGATGCAACTGTGTGCTCAATTAACTATAGAAAAGTTCACATATGAATAGTATTATAAGGTTGGTGCTGGCGTAAGCAGCGGAACACGCATACAAAAAAATATTGCTTTATTAGCAGATCAAAATCACTAGAAAATAGTGATCACTTTAATAGCGAACATAGCAAACTACACAAAAAATTACTTGGCAGGACAGTGTGTCGCTGATGGTAAAAAAGAACCGAATAATGAATAAACATACAACCTTGCTACTTAGCCAGGTAGTTTAAGTTATCCTTTCATGGTTCGGTAATGCGTGCGCCAGCTATTGGCTGGAGAGATTTGAACAGCGTGATCGATGGATTCCCCAATAGACTTGCACTATAAGCACAGTCTTTGTCATTTTTTCCTTCATTAATTTGAGCTAGCTCTCCGCAGAGTTTGATGAAAGTTCACTTTCGTCTTACTCCTAAGTGGTCATATACTATCAAGTTTATCGTCCTTATTATTAGTTAATTACATTCACAAAATATATCACATAAAAAAATTATTCATAGAGAACATAGTAAGGAACTTCAGCGACAAGATAATAACTTCAACATTAATAAGCAAAACGTGTAAAGATATTTCAATATTTGTTAAATTAATCGTTCGATCAGAACTTACTTCTTAGGTCATTCTAACACACGTATCCATCTTTTTCCCTTTGACAAAAAAAACATGACTCGCTGTGCGTGTGAAATGTAAACTACGATTTATGATTTTCGGAAACACGAGTATCGGTGCCTACGCTGTACAAACTCGTTTGGAATCGGCTCGTTGCTATAAGAACGTAGGGTATTATATCATATACGAACGTCACGGTGTGAATTAATTTTCAAAACCACATAAATGTTATATTCTCTATTACGTAACACGCTCTTATTTCTAGCTAAGAGATAATTATTTTTCCTTTTCCCCAATCGTAACACTGGTAGAGTACTCGAGGCGGCTGTCCGCACACACTGCCGACGAGAATAGTGCATCATAGTCGTTACAGACCAGAAGTGCAATGACGTTCCAGACAGCGTTGATATCGTCCCACGGCCAGGTAATGGTGGCACTCTTGATAGGCGTCTTCCTGGTCATGGCTAGCCGGACCCACTACAATCAGATGGTGGTAAGTGCCACCGGTGCTCGTCACACATATTCCGCGATGAACGTCATCTACCAAGTGGCGTACTTGGTCGTTCAGCTACCGACAGGCATGTTCGCGGACCGCTTGAACTCGGTGACCATGTTGGCTATCATCGTCGCCGGGCTGGCTATCACGTTAGCCGCCTCACCATTCGCGCTGATCGGCCTCTCGACATGGTCGTGGACACCATTTTTGTCTGCCATCCCCGCCCTGGTGACCGGCGCTCTTTACGCCGTCAACGGTGCTCTGGCCGGTTCCTGGTGGCCGTTCATGAACGTCATGCTGTCTAACTGGGCACCGCCTGAAAAACTGGCGTACATGTACTCCACCATCAATACAGGTATACCCGGTGGCATCGTGGTCGGAAACATGTTTACCGGTTTCTTCTATGCGGTGCAAGGTACCGATTTCGGTTACAGCTTTTTCGTCATATCCGTTAGTATATTTTTATGTACATTATGTCTGCCAACCAAAGCAGTACTTGAAGGGATAATATCCATCATAAAAATATATATTATTCATAAAAATAATGATATTCGAGCTAAGCAATTAACGCCCAAGTGTTTTAAGTTCTCCACCTCCCACCCACCACAAAAAAATCTTTTTTTTTGATACAATGTTTACATTAATTATTGATTATATTATGTATTATATCGTAATGCAGTTAAAAATACTTCTGAAATTTATTTCGAACGGGGGTTGAATAAATTGTCCCAATAGTATATATACAAGTTTATTAAAAAATTTATTTTAATTAGATACTTTTATTTGTTTAACTGTTCGGGACCGAAGTTAGTCTGATATAAATACTAAAATAATATCTATTAATACTCGCTATGACACCGCGGCGTAAATCTCGGCTATCTACGGTAATATTGTCGTGATATTTATATGATCGGACTCTGTTTCAACATAGGCAATATGCATGACGTGGAGCATTGTCTGGTCTGTGATGTTCCACCATTATCCGTCCGACGACCCGGGTGTCCGGCCATCCGAACTCGAACGCTTGACCACCAGCGTCCACCCGAAAGCAAAACTTCCGGTGCCGTGGGCGGAAATCGTCACTTCGTTGCCCGTGTGGACGGTGATGTTGGCCAATTTTGGTTCGACTGTGCTCTATGTGGTCCTCATAATGTACATGCCTGTGTATCTTAAGTACACAATGAAAGTGGATATCTCGCAAAACGGTTTCATGTCCATGATGCCGCCGCTCGGCCAAATGGCCGTTATGTACGTAGCCGGGAGGTGGGCATCATTAATCCAGGCCAAAGATTGGATGGACGTCTCAGCCATCAGAAAAGTAAAACTAAAATGTCCAAGATCGATTAATCACATATATTGCCCATAGCATATAGCTCATTTTTAGATATAAATAGGCATGTAATTAGATAGGTAGGTAGGTAGGTACCTTTCCATTTTCCAACAAACGATAAGATACAGCGATTGAAACGATTTTTATAGGGACCTAATACTATTTACGCCTTTAGCCACTGTCGACTACGACATAATTGAGAATAAAACACCTTTTGTAAGAAAGGATTGGGAGCAAATTTGTCGGCTTATCAAAGGAAATATTAGTACAAAAGAAAGCCATGAAAAATAAAAAACATTAACAATTTTGTGACGGGTCTTTCTGCTATTTATTGGAATGCACTTTATATTATACGACAAAGTATATTCATTTAAATAATTACAGTAATAATATAAGTATGGTATATTGGTGGGCATGCATTTAAAAATATTACGATTGTACTGTCATATACGATGTATTGATGACCTGTAATTTGTTGATGAACAATAATAATAATAATCAAGCTAGGTAACTGCTTACCCAGTTGAGTTAAAAGTTAAGACCAGGGCTTGAAACCGTTATTGAATACCGGTTAAAACAGTTCAAAACCGAAAACGATATCAAAACTTAAAAGTTAAAACAAAATCAAAATAAATCAAAACCGAAATTGAAATTGGAAAAAAAAATTTCAGTTTCAAGCCCTGATTGAAACTACATTATAAGTATTGCTAAAAAAAAATCAAAACAAATGTTTATATCGTTGTGGCAACGTAACTATAACTTATATTAAAGTATTTATTAAAAAAGTATAATTATAAATTTATATGCTCGATCGTAACTTAGGTACCACCATTAATATAATTAATACTATGTCATATTTTTTGTATTCGTTTGATAGAAACAATACTATATCTATCTAGCATCTTACAATACCTGTAGGAGGAAGAAAATATAATCTAGTGGCCCGCTGCTGTGACATATTAATAATTATGTACTTACATAAGTAGGTAACCTAGTAATATTATTGTGCAATCAGAACTTTTTAGTATTATTGCTTGATGAAAAATATTATTATTATTAGTATTATTATTATTAGTATTATTATTATTTGATGATCAAAAGTGTCAATTTTCTTTCTAGGTTTTTAGTTGTATCGGTATGGCGGTGCCAGCAATCCTACTTTTGGTCGCTACGGCTATACCGAATAGTTACATCTTCTACAGTATTTTAGTAGCATCTTATTCCTTGTCTGGTGCGGTGTTTTCCGGTTTCCGGGTCAGTCAGATGGAAATGGCTCCAAACTTCGTGGCTGTGATCACAGCCCTTGGTGATATTTTTGGCAGCCTAGCAATGAACCTTACTCACATAGCGTTCATTGTGACCATTGGGGATTCTTCCAATCAAAGGGTATGGAACGAAATATGTTGGTGTCTGAGCTTAATACTCATTGCGAGTCTTGTCCCGTTCATCTTGTTCGGGAGTAGCAAAATACAATCGTGGAATACACCCAAAAAATCAGAAACAAATGAATCAATTGCAATATAATGCCACGTGTAGGAATAATAATGATATATCGTCAATTACGGGCGTGGCCTGTTTAAAACTGTAATTAATTAATTAATTAATAATTTGTATATCAATAAAGCTCATCCGATAAATCGAGGAAAAAATATTTAAAACTCGATTTTAAACAAAAATAAATATTATTATTGAACCTTGTATATGCGCTGAAACCGAAAACTCAAACACTATTAATGTTTTTTGAAATAATATTGTTAGACTGGAAGCAGAAAGCAGACTGAAAAAAACAAAGAAATTGGTCACAGGCTCACAGCTAACAGAAAGGTTTTTAACAATAGTCTATTAAAACTAAAAAATATATATATATTAATTGTAATAGATGTTTACGTAAATACGCAATAAAGTTAACGAGACACGAGTACCCAACTTTTGGATAAGAATATAAGGTTTGAGGTCTACTAAATTGTTTTTAAATCAAATGGAGGAATAGGAATAAAAGTATTGTTAAGTGTTGATGATAGCGCATGGTTGCTGCAGCGAGTAGAAATAAATTAAGTTAATACAAGTGATAGATGTTGGACTTATAAATTGATAGTAGAGAATATTAAGACTGATAACAACATGATACAAAAGCACAAAGTATTGAGAATATGTTTTTTTTTTTTTAATTTAATAAAACAGCTCAACAAAATAACACAGTAGCAGTAATCACAGTATTTGGAGGATTTAAAACTAATTCTTAAGGTAAATTCAAATTATTTGTTCAGAGTCAAAACATCAATTATGTATGGACTATGGGATGAGGTTTGAGATTGTTGATTATAAAGAATTACCCATAACCAGCTATAATGACTGAACTAAATTTAAATTTACCATCCCATCAGAAATAAATTTAGTACATTTAGAAAAGAAAGAAGGTAAAGAAAGTAATTTATTTTAGTTTTAGACAGTAGAGTAATACACTATAATACAGTAGGTTGAATTTATTTATTTTTTGAACAAATTGCTTTTGAAAACGTACGTTTGTGTATAAAATATAGTTATATACTTTGAAAGTTTCAAGTGCCTATAAATAATAAATTAAAATTCAATATAATCATATTCTTAGATTGCATATTCTAATTTGTTTTCCCAAGTAATAGGCCTGTCGTGATAAAACTTGCCAGCAGCCAACTAGAATATTCTTGATTTTCTTCTTGTGTGTGTCAAATTTGAGTCTTTTTATATTTTATTTTTATTTGAAAATTATATAATTATTAATTATAGGCCCCGGAACCATTTTCGGAGCTACAACTTTGTCACTTTTTTTAGATATGGGCATTTTTGTCATTTTATTTGGAAAACTGTAACTTTTCTCACTTATCTATAGTTGCTTAATAAGCAATGCTTTTAATCCTTTTCTTCCTTTTTTTCCTTTTCTTAATATACTTTTAGATTCTGAGAGGAGCAATGATGTGTGTTTTTTATTTTTTTATTTTTTATTTTTTAATATCATAGCAGGTACTCGCCTATACTTATCATACTACCTACGCATAAAAATGTCAAAGTTGACTATCGGCGTACAGAAATACCTAGACTTGACTCTGAAGTATATAAGTCATTATAAGATCATACAATTTATTGACATCAATATTGCCAATATCTTATAACTAGAAAAAGATTTTATCGTTAACACATATTTTCATTGGAATAAGATATTTTAAATCTGATAAAAAATGTGTACGATTTAGATCGTTCTAATTGAAATAATCAAATAAACATGGATTTTGGCCTTATGTTACATCTGTTGACTTAGATTTTTCAATTTTTCATTTGCAAACCTTCAACAATATGTTGTTTCTCATTACTTTGTTCCGGAATAATAACAGCATTAATTTTATTTATAAAATATATTTTTTTGTAATTTTCAATGCTAATACATTTTTTCGATGTTTACATATTGTTCACGCTAAACACCTTGCTTGTCTGCTTAATAACCTTATCTGTGCAATGGCAACCATGATAATTATTATCCTCTCGTCCATTCGCAACTCTTTCCGTTAGTAATCATTAATCAAATTAATTAAATTATTGTAATATTTATGAGTTTATTATCTTTGTTTTCTTTTGTCTGTATTTAGATATTGGTCGGTCTGTTGTATCATATTTCATATGTCTCACTTATCGCTATTGTTTTTTTTTTACTTTGTTGTATTGTTTTTGTTCTTTTTTCTTTCGTACCGATTTAACGGTTAAAATTGTATTTGTTCGCTATTACAGCGGTCAAGAATTGGATTGCAGCCACGACAACAGGCCACATGGCACATAATATACAATTATTGCCAAATAAATTGATGTGCTGCCAATACGCGAGTTGTTTTCCTTTACATAATACGATATATGCGCGATATTGTATCCACATCTTGAGGGTCCGTCTCACCGTTGGTTTTCCACGATCGGCATTAAGTCGAGTGCTGGGGCTTTTGCACAAATTTGGTCAACCTCCACTTCAAAGCGTTTTCCCGGTCCGGGCAAGTCCGCCAGCACCCGTGGGGGTGTGTAAGAGGCCTCCACGGTCGTCCAGTTCTATATATCATCAGCAAGCTGCTCGTCATTCAACTGCCTTAGACCTAAGTTAATTTTAAGAATTATCACCCCTGAAAGTGTACTGAGTACGATCATTGCACCAGATCGATCGAAACGTAGAGAAAAGCCCCCCCCCCCCCTTGTACTTAAACTGAGTCATCCTACTTCTATGTAATTACGTCTTCCTCATTCCACACAACCATTAATAATTTCTTTCCCTAGTGTTGTCGTTGTGACAGAGTTTGCCAAAGCTTCGTTGGTCAGTTGCGTTGGTTAAGTTGCCTACCCAAACATAAGTAGGCGTTTAATAGCATTCCGTGCATATAGTCTCTGTTCCACCGAGTGTTGTTTTTTTCGATCAGCCCTCTGTGTCGGACACATACACACATTATTATTTTTTTTACATATTTTGATAAAAATAATTACATATTTATAATATTTATATACATACTTATTTTGATTTTTTGGTTACAATTAAGTCCGTTCCCTACTGATAACAATTTCACAAAAACGATAAAATATAAATAACATGTTTATATTGAAACTCCGATCAAATGGAAATACCAGCTTTTTATAGGTCGCTAATAAGTTAATACCAACAACTGGCTTTTTAAGTTTATGGAGGTGACATTTTGTGTAAGAAATTTATAAAAAATTTTCTTTTTATATTTAAGATTTTAAAATTTAATGCAAGATTCCTTATAAGTTTGTCTACCTTTATCGAAAAAAAAAATTATATTATATCATATCATATTTTAGTCATTGTGTGTATAATATATAATAATAATAATATACTTTGAAAGCTTCAAGTAGGTACCCATAAAAAATAAATTACAACAAAACCATTATTCTTTGCTTAAGTATATCTAATTTTGTCCAAATTTGAACTTAAATTATCTATATAAAAATTGTGTTCATACATTTTGGTTACAGTATTAACTACTTATGAAAAATCATGTTTTAAATTTTCAATTCTTAGCAATAAAAATTTAACATTTTTATACTTTTAACTAAAAAATAATTTGCATATTAACGAGATTTTGATGAAAAATTAATAATATTGTATTTAGTTTAGAAATAATAAACCTAGAATTATATGATAGGTAGGTACAAACATCGATGGACGACAATAAAATATAATAATATTATACTTGCAGAAAGTGCAGCCAAAACATAAGAATTGAAATTGAAGCCGAGAGCAGAGTAATGCAAAACCAATATTGTAACTTTCAAATTGCTGCTACGGATAATAATTTACAATCAGAATTTGGGTAGTCAAATAGTTAGGTATGGAAAATTATTTGAAGTTATAAAAAGCGTATAAGTGGATGTCGCTCTGCTGTACATTAGGTATCTAGAAAGTCACTGTATAGATAGTATTAAATTTGAATTCAATGATATGATATCACTGTATACGAAATACGATTCTGAGCAGACGATAGTCAGTCTAGGATGTTTTATATTGTTATTACTTATTAATTATTATTAAACGATAACCACTAAGTTGAATAAAAATTATGAATATTATTCTTAAATAACCAGCGAAGCTGGAAAAATATTAAATATACCTATGAAAAAATTATGTTGTTTTGGAACCGAATTACAATAAAATGATAAACGTTATTCTTAGTGTTAATATATACAATTTTGTCCAAATTTGAACTTAAAATGTCTTTAAAAAATAACTGTAGGTATTCATATATTTTTTAGATTTCTTAGTTATGGAAAAAATTTCTTAAATTGAACCTTGTTTTAAATGTTCAATCCTTAGCTATAAAAATTGAACATTTTATACATTTTTGACTACAAAATCATTTTCAATTTTCAATTTCATAAATATTATCAAAATTTGAACTTTAAATGCTTATAAAAAATTGAAAATTAGTTTGGCTTCGGAACGATTGTATCACAAGACAAAATGTTTTTCATTGATAAAATGTCTGGATAGTGCCATCTATAGTGACACCAAACTCACACATTTTAGAACAAATGATGACGTGTTCTCGGACACTTTTCCGAAACAACAGCTTCAGACAATCGGACTCTAGTGTATACTATTATTCAAAAAGTGTACACTTTTTGTCAAAACGAACAAAGCTAATATTTTAATCCGTAATCTGGTAGGTACCTTTTTTCGTCAATAAAACGTACCCATAGTCACTCGTTTAAATAGCGATAGCGAATACAATTGACAAGAATACAAGATCGTCGGTGACGGCCGACGAGTCATTAGATCAAAATATTCAGAACCAATTTATGAACGTGAAATACCTGTCCTATACGTATGACAAATATTCAAGTAGGTAGGAGCCTATAGGTCCTTCTAAGTCGTTCGATTTTAAAAATATAAAGATTAAAGATGCTTGAATACATATACAAATTTGCTTTGCATCAGTCCTTGTACTTTTTATAATTTTAACAACGTTTTGACGAAAATTTTCATTTTAAACATTTATCCATTTTTAATATTAAACATATTTAAAAATATTAAAAATGTGTTTCGACCGATTCAAAGTAAACTTATTTACCAAATTCAAACGTCTTATGTTTTTAAAATTGAACCGCTAAATG